TATATATATATATATATACACACACACACACATGTACATGTACATGCATATGTACAAAGCTAAATACAAATATTTTAAATTGCGGTGTATTTCAGATTTATAAAACAACTATATTAACCAGGTGTTTTGTGTTCTTAGAAAATGAAAGTGTAGTGTTGAATGTTCTTGAACAATATTAAAGTAAAACACATTTTTATAATAACAACTTATAGTTACCAAATACATACTTAAAGAAAAGAAAAACGTTTCTCGGTTATTGAATAACTTTTAATTTTATATTACAACATGAGCTGACATTTAATTATTTTGTCACACAATAAACACATCACTACATTACAGATATGACTATATATTAAGATATATCATGTTATAAAAGTCAAATATTTTCTAATATTATTTTAAAGCTTTGATTGAGAGTATGTGAAAAACCTGTGATTTTTTTTTATATTTATTTCTGATTTGAGACAAGGATGATTTTTAAAGTTTCTTAATTAATGAACAGAACCTAATATTCAGTAGTTTTTTGTGTTTCAAATACAAATCACTTCCATCCTCATATATACACAAACAAACACAGAGATATTAAAAGCATCTGCATGAATGATAATTACCTTACAGGCCCACTATCTGCACCCGTTGAAGAAATTAGCTGAAAATTTTCCAAATCCCAGAACTTTATAGATCTGTCAAGAAATAAACAGAGGTAATATAAGTCAATAAAGTGTTTGCAATAAAATTTACTTCAAAGTGTAAGAAACATAAACTTGGTTAAATGATGATAAAGAATAAATTGACACATCTAAATGAAAACTTTTTCTAGTTTATTTTCTGTGACATATTGTGCAGATGCCCTTTGTCAGGGAGTAAAATCTGTGTTACAGCTTGACAAAGAGCTCGAAACTTTGCAAGAAATAAACTGACAAAAATTTTACCTTAAACATGTTAATTTATTCTTTATCATTTATTCAAGTTTTTCTTCTCCCGTCCTGCAGAACAACACTCTTTCATGTAAGAAAGGTACTTTGCTCTTGTAGATAAAATGAGTTAAAAACATACTTAATGGTTTACTTTATTTGGGTTTTCTAAATTAAAGTAGCTTAATCATATAAACAATTTCTGAATTTACTTGAATGACTGACATTAAAGAGAAGTGGTAACTCATTCATTCCATATTTCTTAGACAAATATGTTTTGATAAAAGAATTAGTAGATAATTGTTTGGTCTTAACAATTCAAGTAAATTTAAATAATGAAAAATAAGCAAACAGTAAAGTTAAACATAATTACTGCAAGATATTTTCTTGGAGAAAAAAAATCAATACATAAATTACACATTTAATATTTCCTACTGGTCAAATAATAGTTATTGGACAGTGTTTTAATTAGATTTGTAAAAAATTATACACTAAAATAAACTTAGTTGTGATGCAATATCCTTACTTTTAAATAAAATTAATCTAACAAGACATCATTGTTTTTTTACGTGAACAATAAAATATTTGTAAAGTTTTAAAAAATAAGTTAAAAAAAATTAAAAACACTACACGTTTCAGTGGAGATGGAGGAATTATTTCCACCGAGGCATGTACAGTTTTTAAAGCTTTTTTTTTATTTATATTTTTAAACTTTACAAATAAACTATTGTGCAAGTAAAAAATGTTGATGTCTCGTTTGATTGACATTATTTAAAATTGTTTGCACAAGAACTGTCTGTTTTATGCATTGAGTATCCTTACTGTTAAAAAGTTGTACTCACCTTTTAAACTATTGATAAAGGTGAAACAATATCTTAACTTCTGTTAAAATGTTTCTAATTAAATATCTTTATTCTAACTGACGACAGACAATCATATTGTTTCTTTGGAGCACTCATTCCAATATGTATCATTTTGACACTCAAATTTGCAGAAACAAGGAAAAACATTTGATAACTTTTAATATAGTAAAAATTTTACTGTCTACTTTATGTTGCAGAATTATCTAAGTCATTATAAAGGCAGTCACAACTAGCAAATATAAAAATGAAAGCCAGTATATCTACTGTTTGACATTTATTCTGTATTCACAATTATTTCCAATATTGAAAACAAATTAAATGTTTAAGGAAAAATGTTATTTTTTAAGCTTCTTGAGATGAATGAATACATTCTCTGTACTAAATTACTTCTTTTCTGTTTTGTTTATTACTTTCAGATAAGTCAGATGAAAGATATTTTATAAGTCTATAATGTTACATAGATGTAAGTCAAGTATATACGACTGCTTTGCTTATTAGATGTGCTCTACAATGATTACAACAATAGAAAAACAAAACTGTTTAAGTACTATATTTATTAAAAAGAAAAGTAAATGTTTAATATATTTGTACCTGTCAGAACTCCCACTTGCCAAAAGAAATTCATTTGGATGAAACTCAACTTCAGCAATGGACCCAGTGTGTCCAATAAATTCTGTTAACACTTCCCCACTTGGAAGATCCCACAGCTAAAAAACCCAAAATATACTCATTATAAGTTTTATTGCTCTTTAATTACACATTACCAAATAAAAAAAAAGTTGACAAATACATAATTTTTAAAAGTTTGTAGAGTATAATTCTATTTACATCAAAATAGAATATCCAATTGCAGACCTTAAATTTTATAAAAAAATCATCTGTGTTAAAACCTTATTAATATGTACTCCATGTGACCAAAATCTGTGTACAAATCAAACCAAATAAAACTGGTATTTCAAATCTATGTGATTAAAGTCTCGCATCAGGTTTTCAGAAAGACAAGATTTTCATATCATATTCTCCAGTTTTTTTATTCACAAAAGTTGAAAAATATATAAAAATATTAATTAACTCCTAATCAATCAATAATGTCTCAAACTTCTTTTGATTAAATCATTGATAATTTATTTTTAAAAATTATAACTGACCTTTATCACTCCATCTTCTCCTCCAGAAACAATCCATCTACCATCTGGACTGAACTTTAAGGTATTTACTGCCTGACTGTGACCCTGAAAACAATTAATTACATTTACGATACGTGAATGTCTTATCTTTGTACATTTTTCAACTTGTTTGAGAGGGATTTCAAACTTTATAAATTTGACTATGATACAATTTCAGGAGACTGCAGTTGTTTTAATTTTCCACAATACTAAAGTTAATAAACAACAATAAAATTATTATTATTAATAATGCCTGTTTTCAACAAATATATATATCTATGCCATTTTCCAAAGCTTTATTCTGGTAAATTAAAATAACATATTTCCTTCTTCCGTAATAAACAATGTTTTTAAATTATAGTTAGGTTACCTTAGAAAATAAGGTTTATGAACATAACAATAACAAATTTTACATGATACTGAATATCTCAAAATATCTTTTACAGTTGCTTGACAATTTATTGGTTGTTTCTAATAATACCAAGTAATGGACACTAGCTAATTATTTTCAGCGATATCTCGTAGCAAATATTTACAACAATAAAGCTGATAAATAACTAAATTGCTAGGAGTATAAGAAATAAAACTGATGTTTATAGAACACTGGTTGGAATGGAGGATTTTGATAAATAATAATAACTGAAATTTGGTGAAATGTAGACAATTCTGATGACAGAAATTTCTTTGAAATATAGGATTACAGGTTAGTTAATAAGAATAAGACCAATGAGAGTGGAGAAGGAGTGGCTTTATATGTAAAATGTGAGTTACATCATGTTGAATTTGAGATTGAATCTATTGGAGTTTCTGTTAGTGGACATAACAGGAGAAGGCTTTTAGTGGGAATCTGTTACAAATCATCAGCTGAAACTGAAGAAATTAATAAGAAACTTTACAATGAAATTAAGATTTCAGCTATTAAAGAAACACAACTATGGATGATTTAAATTTCAATCAGATTAGGAAATGTTAAGAGTCAAGTGATGAGGGAGACAAAATTCTAAAAACTGTTCAGGATGATTTTCTTCATCATCTGGTCATTGAACCTACTAGGAACAATGCTATATTAAATGTATTGTTAACATCTCATATAGAAATGGTTGAGAAAGTGGAGATTGGGAAACGTCTGGGCACAAGTGATCATTGTACTGTTGGGTCTGATGTTTTATTGCATATGCAGATCACGAATAATGAAATTTTGGTTACAAGCTTAAAAAAAAAGCTAATGCTGAAGGGATGTGACAAGAATTATCTGTTATGAACTGGGTAGCTGAATGTATCACAGAAAGTTATCAAATGTGATAAATTCTTTAAAATATTTTTTTAAATATTCAAGACATACATGTTCCTAATATAAAAAAAGGGTAGCTGCAAGTAAAAAAATCCAGATTGGCTCAGAAAAGGTATAATGGATAAATTTAATGGAAAGCATTATAAATTTAAGAAGTTATAAATAATAGGAGAATTATTGAAGATAAAGAGAGATGGTAAAACAGGAAATCAGAAAATCAAAAACAGTATATGAAAAAAGGTTGGCTGAAAATGTAGAAATTTACAGTAAAGATTTCATTAAATACATTAAGTTCACATAAAATGTCAGGATAGGAGTAGAGCCTACGAGGGACAATAAAGAAGGAAGAATCATATCCAACAATTATAAGATAGATGGGTTATCTAATTCTGATTTTTCTTCAATTTTTACAAATGAAGATAAAAGTAATGTTCCTCATCCTGAATAGTTGCTAGATAAAAAAAAAGACTGAACAAGATGATCACATTAATTCTGAGCTTGTTAAGAAATAATTGGGAAGTTCAAAGAATGATAAGTCTCCTGTGCTGGATAATATTTCCCAAAGAGTTTAGAAAGAGGTTAAGGACTGGATATGTGAACCACTTTCTACTAATTTTTGTAAGTCCTTTAACAGTGGATAAATGCCAGAGGATTTGAAGTTCACTAATTGTTACTACTCTTTTCAAGAAAGATAATAAAAATTGTCCCAGAAATTATAGGCCTATTAGTCTTACACTAATGATGGAAAAAGTGTGGAAAGTCTGCTAAAAGAAGTTTTACAAAATCATTTAACAAAATCTGAAATTTTGTTGGATAATCAATATGGTTTCATTAGGGGAAAATCTTGTCTACTAATTTTTTTGACATTGTTTGGAGACATTACTGATTATTTAGATGAGGGTAATGATGTGGACATGGTGCCCAATAAAAGGCTTGTTAAAAAATCATTTCTATCAGTGTGGGGTATACATTGACTCACTGGCTGGATGAAAGAAAGCAGAAGGTTGTTATAAATGAAGTTTAATCAAGCTGGATTAATGTCACAAGTGGTATATTTCAGGGCTCAGTGTTAGAACTTTGGCTTATTTTGATTTACATCAATGACATCTATGAATGAATGGTCAATAAATTACTTAAAATTGTTGACAGTACTAAGTCTTGGGTGTTACTGGCTGTGAAGAGTATGTTGTTGCTTTACAAAAGGATTTAGATCATTTAGCAAGTTGGGCAAATAAATGACAAATGGTTTTTAATTATAATAAATGCAAGATAATTCATGTGATATACCATAATTTGAAATATATGTACAACTTTGAGAATAATCTTAACATTGGTATGGAAACAAAAAAGAATTATGATTTTCTGGTTGATCAATTTCTTAAGCAATTCTAGCAGTGTGCTGTTGCTGGTGGTAGAGCAAATAGGATTTTAGCTCATATCTATAAAATTATTGAATACACTGGTTAGACCATATTTAAAATATTGTGTTCAGTCTTTGGCTTGTACTTTAGGAAGTATATTGAATTGTTGGAAATTATTCAGAGAAGGGCCACTAGGATGATACCTGGGATAGCAAAAGGCTGTCATATGACGACAGGACAAAATCTCTGAAATTGTTTTCTATTGAGGAAAGAAGAGTTAGAAGAGATCTGATTGAGGTATTTAAAATTTTGATGGCAACTGGTATGTTGACACAGCATCTTTTTTCATACTTAATGGTGAGAACAATATGACTAGATGACAAAAACATAAATTTTGTCATGGCAAGAGTCATCTTCAGCTAAGATAGTTGGCTTTTGGAATGGGTTGCTTTCAGATATGATGGAAACTATAGATGTAAGGGAGTTTAAGGAAAGCCTTGATAAGTATTTCAATGATAAGGGCCAGCTTGCTTTTAGCTTTTTTTTTTTGTGTTTATATATAGCTTAGTTTAGTGGATGGGACAACCTAAATGTACCATAAAGTCCCATAATATATAAGCACAATCAGAAAAAATATGTAAATACAATTTTAATCAAACAATCCTTCATAACCGATATAAAAATAACTAGTCAATCTAAACGTTTTCCATACTGGATACCTACATAACAGTCACATCATATTAAACACAGAACTAGAATTCTTGAATTACGCAAATAAAACAAAGCATCATAATAGGTCTCTCATCATCTTTCAAGCCATAAAGTTTTGGTTAATTTTTCCTTTGCAATTAACAGAAAGTACAGTTACATAAATGTTTTTCAGACACCCATCATGACAATCTGAAACCATTTTCTTCTCGTGGATATCATACAAGTACATATAACAACGAAATGTCATTATCTGTTATTCTGTAGACATCTACATGGCACAAATAACTATTACCTTATATGTTCGAATACATCCTTTTCTCCTCATGTCCCAAAGCTACAAAAACAAGTGACAAATCAAATTTTCATAACACAAAATTCAATTAGTATCTATACAACAAAAGTTAACCAGAAATACATTAATCACTTCCTAACTCATATATATATTACAAAAGTTTAATTCATATTTTCAGTAAAGTATGCATCATCACAAATATTTAATGCATGAGTAGAGATATATATATAATAACATATATTTTGTAGGCAGATTTTGTTAAACAAGACCGATGTCTGTAGGTTTACTTTCTTCTTAGAATTCTTCTCAAGAAGTCGATAAGCCGTCTTAACGTTGTTAGAACAACGGGTAAAAGTTGTAGCTAGTGATGAGTTGGCCGACGCATTTCGAATGCATTCTGCATTCATTATCAAGGGCTGAATGTTGTGTG